CCTTTACATCCCACAAGGCGAATTGCTTGAGCCCAATTCATAGTGGCTCCACATTTGTGAGTTTGCACTTGTTAAAACCTTATTGTATTTGTGACATTAACTGTACAGACAATGTAAATTGTAAATGCTTTCCTATGAGACCGGCTGAATGCACGTGCAGCTCTTGCCGCGCGTACGCATTCAGCAGAATGGGAGGAGGATCGGAGGCGGAGAGCTCCCCACCCGGCGCTGGAAAAAAGGTAAGTTTTAACCCTTTCCTCTCCCCAGAGCCAGGTAGGAGGGGGACCCTGAGGGTGGGGGCACCTTCAGGGCACTATAGTGCCAGGAAAACAAGTATGTTTTCCTGGCACTATAGTGGTCCTTTAAAAGAACACTCCAAGCATTATAACCATTACAGTGCACTGTAACGGTTTGACTTCTTACTTGGGGTACATCAGGTGCTGCTTGCTGCCTCTCACCATCTGTTACTCAAAGCTGGAAACTTCTGCTAAAAGCTTCGATCAGCTCTCCTGAGCCAAGCCTCTCTGCATTGTGTGAGAGCACGATGCAGAGATCTATGGAAGATCTTGTGAAACCCCTTATACAACTACTTAAAAGGACCACTATAGTGCCAGAAAAACAAACTAGTTTTCTTGGCACTATAAGGTCTTTAGGTCCCCCCCACCCTCGCCGGGCTGAAGGGGTTAAACACTTACCTTTCTCCAGGCTCCCTCGGCGCTGGGGAACTCTCCTCCCTCTGCCGAAGTCAGTGCTGCATGTGTGGTAAGAGCCGCGCGCGCTTTCAAACAGTCCATAGGAAAGCATGCTTTCCTATGGACGTCCAGTGTCTTCTCACTGTGATTTTCACAGTGAGAGACGCGGAAGCACCTCTAGCGGCTGTCAGTGAGACTGCCACTAGAGGCTGGATAAACCCTAGTGTGTACATAGAAGCTTCTCTGAGGGACCTGGCACCCAGACCACTTGAGCTGAAGTGGTCTGGGTGCCTATAGTGGTCCTTTAAGCAATACGAAGCCATAGCCATCATTAGCAACAACGTTTCAGAATGGACAAGAATTGACCTTGTAAGCTCTGCATTCAGTCAATTTTTTTCAATGTGAACTTAAATTGTTATGACCTTCTGTAAAAATGTAATCCAGTAAACATAAAATAAAAAAATAAAAAATTTAAAAAAAGTTTCTGACTATGAAATACTAAGAAGTAAAAGAACCTCATTAAAATTAGTAAATGAAGTACAAACTATGTGTGTTGCATACATACAATTAAATATGACATCTGTAAACTGTTAATGAAGGTACACAGTAAAGAAAAAAAATAGGTGGCAAAGAAAACTTTTCAGATTGAAGTTTGATAAATTCTTCTTTAGAAAACATTGTCGCAAAACTCAAACTGCTCGGCAATCTGTAGGTCTCATATTGTTTATGTAAGAGAATCCAAGCAGCTTATCTGATTCAATCAGTGTGCAATAAATACTGTATTCATGGAGTTCATTGTTGTGCACACATCTACTGGGCTGCTCTGTACAGAAAAGTAAAGCAATGGTCTGCAATGAATTCAGAGATCAGCCAATGCATTATTAAGGGGCACATACATGATATTCTTTTGCAATGTCACGTAATCTCACTTTATCATTTTATTACAATGTGATTAAAAACCGCCACATCGCTACAATTTGCTGCAATATTAAAATGGTGTATATCTTTCACCAAAACATGTATGATGACTACTTGGTTTAATGTAGCCCATTTTGTTTATAGATGGGGTTAAAAGACTGCTCAGAATTTACTATGGGAAAGAGAGTGAGTTTAAATGTATTTCCAATATTTCAGATTTACCAATTTCTTCAACATACCTTTTTGAAAAATCAATGAGGGTCTTTAAATGCAAAAGAAAACACTAGTGCATTGTGATTTTGCAGCCACAGTGTTATTATTCTTGGCACCCCAAGGACAAGCAGAGTGGCAGCAACAGGCTCAAACTCCCCCTGGTCTGCAAGTGCCAGGCTCATAAAAATTTAAATAACAATTAAAGTTTGGACTTGCCAGGGTCACACCAGCTCTGGTATGGTTGAGTGGCAGTGCCAGGCTCGCACAACATGTCAGACAAGGTGGCAGTGCCAGGCTCATACACCATGTCAGAGAAAGTGGCAGTGCCAGGCTCCTACAAAATGTCAGGTTGGCAGTGCCAGGCTCAAACACCATGTCAGACATAGTGGCAGTGCCAGGCTCACACCATGTCAGACATAGTGGCAGTGCCAGGCTCACACCATGTCAGACATAGTGGCAGTGCCAGGCTCACACACCAAATCAGAGAAAGTGGCAGTGCCAGGCTCCTACAAAATGTCAGGGTGGCAGTGCCAGGCTCAAACACCATGTCAGGCAGAGTGGCAGGCTCACACACCATGTCAGACATAGGGGCAGTGCCAGGCTCACACGCACCATGTTAGGGTGGCAGTGCCAGGCTCACACGCACCATGTCAGGGTGCCAGGCTCACACGCACCATGTCAGGGTGCCAGGCTCACACGCACCATGTCAGGGTGCCAGGCTCACACGCACCATGTCAGGGTGCCAGGCTCACACGCACCATGTCAGGGTGCCAGGCTCACACGCACCATGTCAGGGTGCCAGGCTCACACGCACACACCATGTCAGGGTGCCAGGCTCACACGCACACACCATGTCAGGGTGGCAGTGCCAGGCTCTCACACACACCATGTCAGGGTGGCAGTGCCAGGCTCACACACACACCATGTCAGGGTGGCAGTGCCAGGCTCACACACACACCATGTCAGGGTGGCAGTGCCAGGCTCACACACACCATGTCAGGGTGGCAGTGCCAGGCTCACACACACCATGCCAGGGTGGCAGTGCCAGGCTCACACACACCATGCCAGGGTGGCAGTGCCAGGCTCACACACACCATGCCAGGGTGGCAGTGCCAGCCTCACACACACCATGTCAGGGTGGCAGTGCCAGCATCACACACACCATGTCAGGGTGGCAGTGCCAGCATCACACACACCATGTCAGGGTGGCAGTGCCAGGCTCACACACACCATGTCAGGGTGGCAGTGCCAGGCTCACACACACCATGTCAGGGTGGCAGTGCCAGCTCACACACACCATGTCAGGGTGGCAGTGCCAGGCTCACACACACCATGTCAGGGTGGCAGTGCCAGGCTCACACACACCATGTCAGGGTGGCAGTGCCAGGCTCACACACACCATGTCAGGGTGGCAGTGCCAGCTCACACACACCATGTCAGGGTGGCAGTGCCAGGCTCACACACACCATGTCAGGGTGGCAGTGCCAGGCTCACACACACCATGTCAGGGTGGCAGTGCCAGGCTCACACTCTGGATATGGCGGTGTTGGTCTCAGGTCTGGCTGAGTGCCAGGTTCACACTCCCAGGTGTACTCACCGCAGTCCTCCAAGTCCCAGGCGGAGTCGGACTCCTGGTTCCGGTGAGTGCAGCCTGCTGTCCCGGGCCCTGCCTGCCTGCCCAGCTCCGGGCTCAGGAATGGTTGGTATAAAGTGGCCTCTGCTATGCCCCCTCCCCAACTCCCGGTGAGCTCTCTGCCCGGAGCCTCGGTCATTAGAAGCAGGAGAGCGCCCAGCCCGTACAGGACAGGTGCCATGACTGGCCCTCACTCTGTGTATGTGTACAGTCCAGCGAACCGCCTGCGTGTCACACCCACCGCCGGAGCCGCTTCGCTCCCCTCATGGGACTTGTAGTCTTTTGTCAATGCTAGGCACAGGCATCGGGGCGCTCAGAGCACTACAACTCCCGTGAGCCCCCGCGGCCCATTGACTGGTTGAGGAAGTGAAGGAGCGTTGTGTGCTGTCAGAGCCCGAGAGGCTGCCGCCGGGTAGTAGGATGGGACTGGGCAGTGCGGGTACTGGGCAGTGCGGGTACTGGGCTGAGCGGGTACTGGACTGGGTACAGGCAGAGCGGGTACTGGACTGGGTACAGGCAGAGCGGGTACTGGGCAGGGCTGGGTACTGGGCTGAGTACTGGGCAGTGCTGGGTACTGGGAAAAGCGTGTACTGGACTGGGTACTGGGCAGTGCTGCTACTGGGCTGAGTACTGGGCAGCGTGGGTACTAGGCTGAGTACTGGGTACTGGACAGGGTGGGTACTGGGATGAGTAATGGGTACTGGGCTGAGTACTGGGTACTGGGCAGGGTGGGTACTGGGCTGAGTACTGGGTACTGGGCAGGGTGGGTACTGGGATGAGTAATGGGTACTGGGCTGAGTACTGGGTACTGGGCAGGGTGGGTACTGGGCTGAGTAATGGGTACTGTGCAGGGTGGGTACTAGGCTGAGTACTGGGCTGAGTAATGGGTACTGGGCGGGGTGAGTACTGGGTACTGGGCAGGGCTGGGTACTGGGTGAGCTGAAATTGGGAGAGCTGGTACTGGGCTTGGCTTTAGTTCAAATAAATTATACCAAGTACTGAGCTCAGTGCACACAGTGTATTGTGTTGTTCTAATTTTATATCGAAAAGTGTTTTGGGAAAATATATTAAGACACGTAACATAGTTTTTAATTCATGCGCCTGTCTCTGGCCATAGATTCCTATTAACACATTTATTGGATTCTCAGATATTGTTTAGTAGTTTACATATCAGCTTCCAGTATTTCTAACACTTTGTGTCAGGATGAGGTTGGTTGAATTTAAAGGGCACATGCCATGCCAAACATAATATCAAGAATTTTCCACCGATACCACGGGATAGCTGAATTGTGAACAAATGTATAGATGGATAATTGTTTTACCATGCAACTCTTTTTGGCTGTCACTTTACCACTATGGCAAGTACCACAAATATGGTGAAGATGTGCAGTTATATGCCCAGCCTTCTTATCTTCTAGTGATACCGGCGTACATTAATAATAATAATAATAATAATAATGCATGTAAAGCATTAGCCAGCGCATTGTGTACATTAAATCTATACCTACCTGAAGGTGAACTTGCCATCCACACAGTGTGTAAAGGAGATATTTACTTTTAACCCCTTAAGGACACATGACTTGTGTGACATGTCATGATTCCCTTTTATTCCAGAAGTTTGGGCCTTAAGGGGTTAAAAGGAACAAATTAAAGGACCACTATAGTGCCAGGAAAACATACTCGTTTTCCTGGCACTATAGTGTCCTGAGGGTGCCCCCACCTTCAGGGACCCCCTCCCGCCCGGCTCTGGAAAGGGGTAAAAACTTACCTTTTTCCAGCGCTGGGCGGAGAGCTCTCCTCCTCCGATCCTCCTTCTCTCCTCCCTGTCGGCTGAATGCGCACGCGCGGCAAGAGCTGCGCGCGCATTCAGCCGGTCACATAGGAAAGCATTCATAATGCTTTCCTATGGACGCTGGTGTGCTCTCACTGTGAAAAAATGGGTTAACCCTAGAAGGACCTGGCACCCAGACCACTTAATTAAGCTGAAGTGGTCTGGGTGCCTAGAGTGGTTCTTTAAGTTTGACACACAAATGCACGAGACTGGACACATTTTCATATCCAGTTGTGCACATACTGTACACTTACAGAAGAGAGTTCAATGTAGGTGATTAGTGACCTTGATGACACTAATTGGTTGCAGCTGCAGAAAAATGACTGCATAGGTCTGTGCTTTTATCGACCTTGCTGTTACTTTAAACATTCTAATTTTGACTTGCACTTTGCCAGACTTTGGGTTGTGGGTGCCTGTGAAAATGAGCAGTGTAGAAAAGAAGAAATGTTGATAAGTTACTGGTGATGTAGCCAATATGATCCATAATTTAACATTTGCATCGTACAGCTAATAAATGGCTGATAGTGAAAAGGCTTTTTTTCCCCCACATGCTGCGAGTAGCATCTCTTGCATACATGAGAGAACCTGCTGTATTGCAGTATTTTTATAGACTCCTATTGTATTCTTGTTCATGCACAGGAAAGCCAGCTTAACTTACTCTGGTTCATGCACAAAAAAAGCCATCCTAATATACTCTTGTTCATGCGCAGGAATGCTGTCTTAATGTACTCTTGTTTATGCGCAGGAATGAACACAGTTCTCAGTGGATCCATCTCCCAGTAGTTGAAGAAGTAAAGATTACATCATCAAGGAAGCAGAGCTTCAGGTAACTATGCAATCAAACATTCATAAAAATTATGTACTCAGAATATATGCAAAGTACAGCATTTGACTTCCATAAACTCAAATGATGTGGCTGAGGTCTGCTACTGCATTTAAAGTACACTTTACAGTGAGGGGAAAAAAGTATTTGATCTCCTGCTGATTTTGAACATTTGCCCACTGACAAAGAAATGATCCATCTATAATTGTAGGTATATTTTAACAGTGAGAGACAGAATAAGAAAAAAAAAAAAAATCCAGAAAGACGCATGTCAAAAAAGTTCTAAATTGATTTGCATGTCAATTAGTGAAATAAGTATTTGACCCCTTTGACTTAGTACTTGGTGGCAAAACCCTAGTTGGCAATCACAGAGGTCAGACGTTTCTTGTAGTTGGCCACCAGGTTTGCACACATCTCAAGAGGGATTTTGTCCCACTCCTCTTTGCAGATCCTCTCCTAATGATTAAGGTTTCAAGGCTGAAGTTCACAAGTCGAACCTTCAGCTCCCTCCACAGATTTTCTATGGGATTAAGATCTGGAGACTGGGTAGGCCACTCTGCCAGTCCACGACCCATTTTCAATGCTCTGGGATGGAGGTTCTCTGGGAGGGATGGAGGTTCTGTCAGGATCTTACCTGGGTTGGGAGTCTGTAGCGCAGATATGTTGCTCACCCTGGCAGATAGCCACAGGCCAAGGTGGTCAGGTAAGAATTCACCCGGCCTGTGGGTCTGTGCACGGGGGCTGTGCAGGATGAAGTACCAAGTCACAGGACAGGCAAGGACTCAAACAGCAGGATCGTCAAAGGATAGCCGAGGTCAAAGGATGCCAGAAGACAGGAACAACGAGGAGTAGCCGAAGTCAAGGGATGCCAGAGGTCAGAGTAAACGTAGTCAGAAGCCGGGGTCAATAACAAGTAGCAGTTCAAACAACAGGAACACTGGTACAAAGCACACAACAGGATCAAAGACTTGATCCTGATCACAGGGCGAGGCTGAGTTTAAATACCCTGCTAATGTCTGATCAGGGTCAGGTGAAGCACATCCAAAGTCAAGGTACAGCCCCCAGAGGAATAGACATGCCAGGATGAACAGGACCAGAATGACAACAAAATACAAAAGATGCTGTGGCTCAGAGGAAGGAAGCAGGACCAGGACTGCGAAGTTCCCCGGTTCAAGTCCCTTGTTGGGAACTCCATGGGTGACCACGTCTGGCCGTCTGTTTGCTGCGGTGAGAACCGTGACAGTACCCCCCCTTCAAGAACACCCTCCGGGTGGGATTTGGTTGCTTATCAGTACCTTCCTCCTCTGAGAGATCAAATACATCATCTGGCAGGAGGTACGTTCTTCCATAGGCATTCATGCCATACGTACGGCCTTCTTCCAGATTAGAGGAGAACACAGCACCTACTGTAGCCTTTGCTCTAGTAGTTCTCACAGGGGAAGTATTTGCAGCTTTCAATGCTTTTTCAAATATTTCTAGATCCTGTTTGCATACAACTGTGCCATTTGAGGCATACGTGCAGTCAGGTGGCAGAACTTCTTTGGCAAGGCAGGAAGTGGTAATGGTGCTTGCTTGAGCAGAAGTGTCATCAGGAAGAGGTCTAGATGTTTCTGGAGCAGGAGGTGGAGATTCCACAGGGGTACTGGTTGCAGGTTCTTGAGGGACACTGGTAACATTGACTGTAGTAGTTTGGGTACCCTTTTGTGTCACAGGACGGGGACACGGCTGGCATGCAGTGTATACAGGGTGGAGGAAAGAAGTACCCAGTCGGAGAGCTAGAGGTCTAGGAGGACGAACAGGGCAAAGTGTGATGAAATGCCCACTTTCTCCACAGTAGTAACATAGGCCATGGTTTCTCCTTCGGTCTCTTTCCTCAGGTGTCACTTTGCAGTGAACAAGTCCTAATTGCATAGGTTCCTCAGGGTCGAGTGGAACACAGGATACCTCAGGAGTTTTCATAGGAACAGGATCATAAGGAGACTTCACTGGGGTGTAGTGGTGGTACAGGGTTTCTTGGTTACGAAGAATCTGAGATTTTTTGGTACGTGGAGCTGGCTTGGTCACAGTGGTCTTGCATTGTGAGTCCATAGCGGTACTGAAGGATTCCCAGCTGACAAGGACAGGACTCTTTGTCTGCAACATTTGGTGAGCCCATACTTTGATGCATCCAGACAACAGGTTGATAGCCGCTCGGACCTTGATGAAATCTGTGGCATATGTTCGAGGCTTTAAAGAAAACAACACCTCACAATCCATCTTGAAAGACTGAAAGGATGTGCGGCTACCATCAAAACGATCGGGCATGATCACAAACGGTTCAGGATAAGCTGGTTCCGGGGCTGGACGTACTGCGCCTTTAAGAAATAAAATTTCTTGCTGCAACTCCAAAACAGTCTGGGCCAGGCTGGACACTGGTTGGGACAGGGGTGAGCACATCTCTGCGGACTCCATATTGATCAAGTCTTATGTCAGGATCTTACCTGGGTTGGGAGTCTGTAGCGCAGATATGTTTCTCACCCTTGCAGATAGTCACAGGCCAAGGTGGTCAGGTAAGAATTCACCCGGCCTGTGGGTCTGTGCACGGGGGCTGTGCAGGATGAAGTACCAAGTCGCAGGACAGGCAAGGACTCAAACAGCAGGATCGTCAAAGGATAGCCGAGGTCAAAGGATGCCAGAAGACAGGAACAACGAGGAGTAGCCGAAGTCAAGGGATGCCAGAGGTCAGAGTAAACGTAGTCAGAAGCCGGGGTCAATAACAAGTAGCAGTTCAAACAACAGGAACACTGGTACAAAGCACACAACAGGATCAAAGACTTGATCCTGATCACAGGGCGAGGCTGAGTTTAAATACCCTGCTAATGTCTGATCAGGGTCAGGTGAAGCACATCCAAAGTCAAGGTACAGCCCCCAGAGTAATAGACATGCCAGGATGAACAGGACCAGAATGACAACAAAATACAAAAGCTGCTGTGGCTCAGAGGAAGGAAGCAGGACCAGGACTGCGAAGTTCCCCGGTTCAAGTCCCTTGTTGGGAACTCCATGGGTGACCACGTCTGGCCGTCTGTTTGCTGCGGTGAGAACCGTGACAGGTTCTCACCAAAGATTTGACGATACATGGTCCTGTCTATCGTCCCTTTGATGCGGTGTAGTTTCCTGTCCCCTTAGCAGAAAAACACCCAAAAAAGCATAATGTTTCTACCTCCATGTTTGACGGTGGGGATGGTGTTCTTGGGGTCATAGGCAGCATTTCTCCAAACACGGCGAGTTGAGTTGATGCTAAAGAGCTCGATTTTGGTCTCATCTGACCAACTTTCACTAAGTTCTCCTCTGAATCATTCAGACGGCAAACTTCAGACGGGCCAGTACATGCTTTCTTGAGCAGGGGGACCTTGCGGGCGCCGCAGGATTTCAGTCCTTCACGGCGTAGTTTGTTACCAATTGTTTTCTTGGTAACTATGGTCCCAGTTGTCTTGAGATCATTAACAAGATCCTCTCGTGTAGTTCTGGGCTGATCCCTCACCATTCTTGTGATCATTGAAACTCCACGAGGTGAAATCTTGCATGGAGCACCAGACCAAGTGAGACTGACAACTATTTTGTGTTTCTTCCATTTGCGAATAATTGCACCAACTGTTGTTGCCTTCTCACCAAGCTGCTTTTTGATGGTCTTGTAGACCATTCCAGCCTTGTGTTGGTCTACACTCTTGTCCCTGACATCCTTGGATAGCTCTTTGGTCTTGGCCAAGGTGAAGAGTTTGGAATCTGATTGGTTGCTTCTGTGGACAGGTATCTTTTATACAGGTAACGAGCTGAGATTTAGGAGCACTCCCTTTAAGAGAGTGCTCCTAATCTCAGCTCGTTACCTGTATAAAAGACTCCTGGGAGCCAGAAATCTTTTTGATTGATAGGGGATCAAATACTTATTTCACTCATTGACATGGAAATCAGTTTATAACTTTTTTGACGTGTTTTTCTGTTTGTTTTTTTGTTGTTGTTGTTATTCTGTCTCTCACTGTTAAAATACACCTACCATTAAAATTGTAGACTGATCATTTCTTTGTCAGTGGGCAAACGTTCAAAATCAGCAGGAGATCATTTACTTTTTTTCCCCCTTACTGTAGGTGCTGTTACAAGCCAGCAAATACAATGT